AAAAACAAACAAGAAAAAAAAAGAATTATTGAGTCGTTGACTGTCTTACAGACAGGAACAATGTGTGTTACTGTCACGTGCAATTTACAAAGACCACACAAAATTGTCAAAATTGGCTCACCTTTTCAACGTGCCCTGAGAGAGGCTGTATTCCTCCAGGTTAAAATTATGTTTCACTGGGGGGAAAAAAGACTAGTAGTAGATGCTTATAATTTATTACCAATAATTTTTTTTAAATCATATGAAATAAAAATGCAAACCATTCATATAAATGGACTACAGAGCTGAACAAACAAATGCTTGGTGAGATAAAGAAATAATGAAAAGTCAGAATATAAATACACATTGAATAAATCTTGATATTAGAATTTTCTCATATTACACATTGGTCACACACTGGTGTTTTATTACTTAGTTGATGTGTCCTGGGAGATACATAGGTTCCTGGAGGGACTTCATAATTGACTGATAGACTCTTACACGTGGGGAAGATTTCAATCCCATTCCATTCCCTTTAAGAGGGCCCACTACTTCGGTGGAACTGTGTGCTTCAGCCAGTTCATATGCTGCACCAGCTTTCCGCTAGGCATCCCCACCAGGAAATCTGTGTGAGAGTGGTCACCAATTTACATATTCATGTGTTCACAGTTCGACATTTATACATAGAGAACCTTCCATGAGTGGGAGCCACCCTTAGGTGGCAGGGATAGAGCTGTAAATGAAATAGGTAAAACGAAAACCCCTGCCTTTGTGTAGTATGCATTCTATTGGGAGGAATATGGGCATTAGGTAAGTAAGCAATATATAATAAACATATTAATTTACATAAGTATAATAAAGTAAATGGTAGCTAGTATCGAGAAAAAATAAATTAAGTGCAAGAAAGAGGAAGTGGAGGGCACTCTTTTTTAAAGATAGCTAGGAAGGGCCACAATAACAAGATCATAACTGAGCAGGAACCTGAAAGAAGTGAGGAAGCAGCTTGGAAATTTAGGAAGTAGAATTCCAGAAAGAAGGATTAGCAAGTGCACAACCCCAAGGCAGGAAGTCAGGGTGTCTAGAGTGGGAGGAGCAAACCAGAGATTTATATTATGTCAAGCACTGTTCTAGGCTCTTTATAAATGAGCTCATTTAATCCTCCCAACAACCCTGCCATGTGGCACTGATGCTATCCCCCATTTTAGAGATGAGCCATCCAGGTGCCCGGGGATTAAGCATCTTTGTCCAGTGTCTCCTAGCTCGTAAGCAGCAGTGCTCGGTTGGGAACCTGGAGAGCCTGGTGCTAGAGTTGGAGCTCTTTGCTACTATGCTGTGCTTGGAAATTCCACCATGATGGTTTGTTTTGGAGAACCACCCAGTGAAAAGTGGAAAAATGATGACAAAGACAGTAAAGGGACGATTTCAAGTGGCGAGAGAGTCATGCACAATGCAGGGCACAGGCTTAGCTGGAGACAGGCTGTTCATGCATCTTTAAGGCGGAACACACAGCACAGACACAGGGAAGTTTCCTGCTGCCTTTATTTTATGAGTGAAATATAAAGCAAGGAATCAACTGTGGGAGAAGAGCAGGAAGGAGACAGATATGCAAGGGGAGGGGGAATGAAGTAAGAATTCAGGACACTTGGTATGAATGGATTGTGTACACGTAAGCAAAGCAAACTGGACTAAAGGGCTTTCTGAGTTTAATGTTATGAATTCACATTAAAACCAACCAAGCACAATTGTGTGTTTTCTGCAGTTTCCATCTGCACTGGAAATTAACCTCTTTCCAGAGGCTTGGGTGAACCAAAACTGGGGTTAAATCCTGACCATTATGTAGCATTAGGATTCTTAAGATCATACATATCCTACAGGACCTATTTTTTAAAATGTATTATACAATTATCTCCTATTAAATTACTATCCAAGCATGAATTAATTCTTCAAAAGTTTTCTTGTAAAAATGGTCACTCTTACCTGCCTCTAATTTGGAAAAGGCCTGAGATAAAGGGTGAACATCTGCCACGGGCAGTTTATAGGCCAAGAAGGTGGAATACCTGGAAATAGGAAAATGTCATATTTGACCTTGAGTTTCAAGGAGAAAAAAAGACCATCAAAATAAATATTGATATCAGCAATTTCCTTTATGAAATAAAAACAATGCAAATCAGACCTGGCCAGCTGGCTCATTAAGTTAGAGTGTCGCCGAGGCCGATTTGGCTCAATGGATAGAGCGTTGGCCTGTGGTCGGGTTCAATTCCCAGTCAGTTCACATTACCTAGGCTGGGGGTTCAATCCCTGGTTGGGGCACTTCCAGAAGGTAACCAATGGATGTTTCTCTCTCTCCCCCTCTCCCTTTTTCTCTCTAAAAATCAATAAACATATCCTTAGGTAAAGATTAAAAATGTAATAATGCAAATTAATGTAGTTCACATATGAAGTAAATCATCTAATTTACCAATGGACATTTCTTAAAATGACTTTGGTAGTTGGCTGTAGGAGATAATTCTCCTAGAAAGAATCCAGCATAATTATACTTATTCTCAGTTCACACAAACCTTTTTCTTGTTGAACATAGCCATTCTGAACTAATCCCTTTGGTAAATTCAAATTAGGCTGGAATTAATCTCACTCAATATTCCATCCTTGTCACCAGAAAGCTGAGAGAGATAAGAGTTTGGGAAAGAGGGACATAATAGTGGGTGGGGTTCAAAAGGTTTTAACTAAAAACGTCCCTGACCTCTGAGGAAAGAAGAGCCAGGACTCATGTTTGGCATCTTGCTTCCACATGCTACTTCTGGCTGTGTGACCTCATGCCCCATTCTCAGCTCCTTCCTAAACAGAAGTCTGGTGCTCCCAGGTAGCTCCAAAGCTGTCCAGACTTCCAGGACTGGCCCCCTTCATCCCAGACGCTGCCCTTCCAGCCTCACCCTACGTGATCTTTCCATCTACATCAGAACTTCTCAGGTTTGTGACACCAAAGGTCTAGGAATAGGACTATGACATGCCCTGCCATAGACCTCAGATAGTGCCATTATATTTACACTGTGCTAAGATGGAAATAGCAGTTATGTTCTGCTTCTCTGGGGTGATTATCTCTCCAAAAAATTTCAAATTCAGTTCCTGCTCCATCTTCCTGCCCCCCTCCCCCCAATAACTAACACACACACACACACACACACCTATTTTCCATTTTGTGTCATGAAAACTTCATCAATGGACAACTCTTTGATTATTTGTTGCTATTAAAAAGTTGCTATTTGTTCCCTATGAAGGGAACTTACCTTAAACAGTTACATCTTTTAAATTATAAATATTAACATCTTTTGAATATTTACAGGAAGGCCCAAGGAGGATGCCATGGGCCTGACTGTGGCCCTGAGTGGGTTTTAATAATCAGAAATCCCCCCAATTTTTCCAAGTCTTCTGCCAGAGCTGGGGATCAGCCATGGATGGCAGTGGAGACCCATGAAGGCTGTCCCCAAGCTTCCCTGGGGGATACAGCTATCTGGGCAGCTCCCAAATCTCATAATCTATAAGACTCAACAAGTCAGTTTTTGAGGCCCCACTGTTCATTATGAAGTCACCCTGACGTTCTCTCAGAGCAGAAGAGGAACCATCAAATGGGTAAAGACAACAGGTTTCTCCATAAACAGAAGCTCCATTCACCTTTCCTGCAGGGCAGCCTGTGGGAAAAGCTTCAGAATCTCAGTGTGGACCGAAGTCCGTTGAGAAGCTTCCTGTACTTTTAGTTCTAGAATGTAATCCTTGCCAAGTTTGCTTTTCAGGTGTTGGATGGAGCCAATGCATCTATGGACAAGAAGGAAAACATGTTGGAATGAATATTGGCTCTGAAATTTTTTACATTATTTCAAATATAAGGGAAAGGGCATCACTGAGGGAGCTGAAAAGAAGAACTCCATCTGGTGATTGTCTCCTTTTCATAAGGAATCTCATTTTGGGGGGTCAAGTGAAGGCTATGGAAAGACACCCACCTCAGCCTTCCAGACACCATGATGGCGATGCGGTCACAAAGGGTCTCAGCCTCCACCAGGTTTTGGGTGGTCAGGAGGGCCGCCTTCTCTGTGTTTTTAATGGTTGACTGAATCATGTGCCTAAAGTAAACCATTAAAATCAACACCATTAAAAAAAGAGCATGAGATTGGGGGGGGGGGGGTATGAGATAAAGGGGAAATTTTATAGGCAAATTACAGTTTATGAATCATATTTAGATCCTAATTTAAAAAAGAGAGAGCCCTAACTGGTTTGGCTCAGTGGATAGAGCGTCGGCCTGCGGACTGAAGGGTCCCAGGTTCAATTCGGGTCAAGGACATGTACCTTGGTTGTAGGCACATCCCCGGTAGGGAGTGTGCAGGAGGCAGCTGATCGATGTTTCTCTCTCATCGATGTTTCTAACTCTCTATCTCTCTCCCTTCCTCTCTGTAAAAAAAATCAATAAAATATATTGCTAAAATAAAATATATTTTTTTAAAAAGAGAGAGAAATGTGACTACTGATTAGGTTTTTATAGCATAAAGAAGGTTTTAAAATATTTTTGTTATTAAATTATTTGTTACCATTTAGGAGTGATTCTGGTTAAGTTAAAGAAAAATTCCAGCCCAGCTGGCATGGCTCAGTGGTTGAGCGTTGACTTATGAACCAGGAGGTCACAGTCAATTCCCAGTCAGGAAACATGTCTGGATTGCAGGCTTGATCCCCAGTAGGGGAAATGCAGAAGGCAGCTGATCAGTGATTCTCTCTCATCATTGATGTCTCTCTCTTTCTCCCTCTCCCTTCCTCTCTGTAATCAATAAAAATATATTAAAAAGAAAACCTCTGTATCTTTTGTAGAAACTAACTGAAATATTAATCAATAAAGGACCTGCTGCCTAATATTTGCTTCAAAATAACTGGGGAGTGGGGAAATGAAGTGGGTGGAGGTATAGATGGAGAAATATTGACCTTGTATAGATAATTTTATTGGTTTTTTACAGAGAGGAAGGGAGAGGGCTAGAGAGCTAGAAACATCGATGAGAGAAAAACATCGATCAGCTGCCTCCTGCACACTCCCCACTGGGGATGTGCCTGCAACCAAGGTACATGCCTTTGACCGGAATCGAACCTGGGACACTTGAGTCCGCAGGCCGTGCTCTATCCACTGAGCCAAACCAGTTAGGGATGAATTGGAAAATTTTATTAGTCCAAATCGAAAGTCTCAGATAGGAAACTAAAAAGAATTTAAAAAACTAAGAAAACTTATATAAACAAACTTGACAGATTAGGTAACAGGGTGGCGGGGAGGAAATGGGAAAATTATGTCACTAACTTAATAGTTTCTAAGGAAACAGTTATAGACATCTCAATAAGTAAAAGACAAAATCAAAATACACTCCAAATTGCAATACCTAAAACTCCAACCAAATCCTTAGAGTGCTTTTATTTTTGCTGTTCTTAAAAAATGTGAATACCACATGAATACACTACATTAGTGAATCTAGAAGGGTTGGGCAGAGGGGTAAGAGATCAACCAAATGACTTGTATGCATGCATATAAGCATAACCAATGGACACAGACACTAGGGGGGTGAGGGCATGTGCTGGGAGAGGGAGTGGGGAAGGCCAGGGGCGGGAGGTCAATACGGGAAAAAGGAGACATATGTTCTACTATGTGTAATACTTTAAACAAAAATAAAAAATAAAAAAATGTGAATACCACATGAATATGCTGCATTAGCAAATCCATTTGTTCAATATTTGTTTTCCTAATAATATGGAGTATCTTCACTGAACTGGGAACCCGTGGATTTGCTTTTCTATGACCAGTTTAAGAATGCAACGTACACATGAGGTTTCTACTGCTGGCTCTGAGGGGGACAATTCTCACCACATCTGCTGCTGTCCTGTAGGATCCACGCCTGTAGATGGTTCATCCAGGATCAGGATGGGCGAATTTCCCAAGATGCTCAGCATGAAACACAACTGAAATGCAGAGAAACACCTCTATCTGCTGCCAGCACCACATCCGCCCTTAGGATAGCAGCACACACCACACATACCTTTCTGGTGGCCCCTGGCGTTAATTTCTGCACCGGGACATTCAGCTCTTGGTGCAGTTTGAAGGCATCCACCAATCTGATGGGAAACAGGAAGAGAATGGGGAAAAGGTCATCACACGGAAGAGGAACAGCCTTCGGGGGAAGCGGGGTGCTATTATTCTCAACAATCGTTAACTCTAGTGACCAAGGGAAAGGACAGTTTATTTCAGAATGGGAAAGATTTTTCATCTCGTAAACAGGTTTTAAGAGTAGCTAGAATTCTGTTAGGAACGGAAATGGATGATCATTCATTCACTTGTCAAAAACAGCCTTTGTTGCCTGGCTGGTATGGCTTAGTGGTTGAGCGTCGGCCTATGAACCAGGAGGTCATGGTTCCATTCCTGGTCAGGGCACATGCTGGGGGTTGTGGGCTCGATCTCCAGCGTGGGGTGTGCAGGAGGCAGCTGATGGATGATTCTCTCTCATCATTGATGTTTCTATCTCCCTCTCCCTCTCCCTTCCTCTCTCTCTAAATAAATAAAAACGTATCTTGAAAAAAAAGGAAGTACTGGTGCTGCCAATTCAGCATCAGAGTACAGAGGAAAAGAGTACTTAAAAAAAACAAAAACAGAAAAAATAAAAACACAGCCCTTGTCTGACATCCTTGCTCTACCACCGACACCCTCTGAGAAGGGGAGATGTCTTTTCTACTCTCCACTCTTCATTAGTGGATTCATCATCAATGGACAGTTGCCCTGCCTCCTGACACAAGAGGATCGCATGACTGTACCTTGTGATGGCGACTGCGGCGTCCGCTTTCCTCAGCCCTTTCACTGCAGCGAACAGGTCCAGGTGCACCCTCACCGTCAGGTTGGGCCACAGCGCGTTCTCCTGAGGGCAGTACCCCAGGAACTTGACCGAGCCATCTCCCCAAATTGAATTCCATCCTTTCAGTTCCACCTATGAAAGTAAACTGGTTTGAGAAATACGTGCAGCCTTTTCTCCAATCACATAATCACTCAAGAAACTGACATGTAGCTAATAAATGTCTACATTTTTTTGAGCATCGAAGAAATATTTCTAGAAATCACTTTCTAGATTTATGATTAAAAACTTTTTTAATGACTCAAAGTATAGTCATATAAAGCTATGGCCTATATTTATTGTGAGACTTCTATTCTTGGAATGGATACTGTTTCTTCATTGTTTTACTACCTCTCCAGCCGTTGGCTTTGTGACCCCAGATATCATTCTCAGAGATGAACTTTTACCAGCACCACTGGGTCCCAGCAATCCCAGTACTTCACCTGAAAGAGAATCATTGATTATTGGAAGTGAAATAATCAGAACATAAATCAGAAATAATCAGAAAATAAACACAAAACTGTTTCTCCAATAACCTTCTTTAATAACCCCTCAGTGCCATTTTGAAATTTATAACATATATGTAATTCATGTCACCAAAACACGCTCTTCAACTCCTATGATTATATAATGTATTCATGAAAAGCTTATGAATTTGATGTCAATACCACTGTTCTTTTTTTAAAAACTTTTTTAGTGAAAAATGTGCCCAGATTGTTTCCTAGAACAGGTGGCTGATGTGCTGAGTAGATGGGTTAGTGGTTCCTAAACTTGGGAATTCAGGGACATTTTCTCCACCCTAAATTCCACCGCCTGTGTTCAAGCCATCTTTCATTGGAACTGATACAAAAGGCTCTTAATCTGTCCACAACAAATTTATGAGCAAACAATTGTGTGGGGGGTTTGTTTGTTTTTGTTTTTTAAAACACAAATAATTGTGACAAACGCTGGCTGCAAACCCTCCCATAGTATTCCAATAACATGATGTAAAACCCGAATTCTGTGCCAGATCTCACAAAGCTTCCCCTCATCTGGCCCCGCCCACCTCTTTGATTTCACCCCTTCCATCCGCAGATGCAGGCCTCTTTGTGTGTGTCTCCACCACGCCATGGCATCCCCACGCCTGAGCCCCTGCCCTCGCTGTTTCCTCTGCCCGGGGTGCCCTTCTCTCTTCGTGCATACGCAGCTGGCACCTCATCACTCAGGTTGTGGCTTAAATGTGGCTGTTCAAGGAAGGTCCTTCCAAACCCTAAGTGAAGGCCACACATATCATTCCACATATTTGCATGTTCCACGCAGAGCTTGTCTATGTGACCTTTGACATTTTTCTTAATAGGTTATTTTTTCGAAATATGTTCAAAACATGTTTTGAAAAACAAAGAAAGTACCGGTGCTGCCAATTCAGCAACAGAGTAGAGAGAAAAAGAGGGCTTTTAAAAAACAAAATGGGGGGAAAAAAACCAACCCAGCCCTTAGGATATATAATGCATGAGGACAGGAACTTGCCTATTCCCTTCATAATTATATTTTCAGAGCCTTAAACAGTCCCTGGAACACTCAAAAAATAGATCATGTCCCCCAAAATGTATACACACACTTTGAAT